ATCAATATTATATAGTTCGAAAATCTTACATTGAATTTTTTTACGTCGATAATTTTGCGTTTTGGCTCCAGAGCTCAATTTGGACAGGCCTGATTTAGATGAAATAGGAAGATGAATGAAAATTTGTACAATCAATGAGACAGAAATAAAAATAGTCAACATGTATACATCCGACAAGCATAATATCACCACAATGTTTTCTGATAACACATGTAGATATGTATATAACATACAATGTACATAATCCAAACAGGTATAAAGTATATCTCAATTTATCAGTTTCAAATAGAGATTATTTGATAATTATTTGGTATAAATTTGATTGTGTGTGGTATATACAACTGTACTTCTTACAAAAGAACAGATGATATATCTTACACAAATACAAATGCTAAACAGTAAAATTTGTTTTTATTTACATATGCAACACTGATTAAATTATATATATTCTTTATTGCTTTTAATATAGCAGCGCTAAGTATTTTTACTTTTATTTAAATTAAATTTTTTTGTTCTGTTACCTCTTTAAATTCTTTACAACACTTTAGTTAAGTAAAGTAACATAACTTTTTGATATAATATTTTTAGTGAAAATTGAATAACCTATTATCATTTGTGATAGATAACAAGAATTTCGAATGGGTACAAAGTACAGGGTGGGCCATCTATTGGTACGTTTTTGAATTTCGTCGTATGGCAACACCGAACGAGCTACAGACCCGAAATTTTGACAGTTTATTAGTCATACCGTCCGCGGCACGAAACAACATGTTTTCTCTTGAAGAGCGTTTTGAAATTTTAAAAACTTATTTTCAAAGTCAGTGCTGTGTCGCCGAAACTGTACGAATTTTGAAAAGAAATATGGAGCACCGAAGGAGCTATACGCAAATTGGTGAGGAAAGTTCGTGAGAAAGGGATGTTAGTGGATGACAGAAGTGGTCCCAGAGCTCGGACAGTGCGCACACCCGAGAATATTGAGGCTGTGGCCCAAAGTGTGAGACAATTCCAGCTTTGAAAAACAATAGTCCAAAATGTCCTTAATAATTGGGGTGACCGAATGGCATACTGTAAGGCCAGTAGAGGGAGCCACATGAACGAAATCGTTTTTCATTCTTGACGCGGATACTTTTAGCTTCACAACAAAAAAAAAATTAATAAAAAATATCAATGTATGCTCATTTGATCGCATTTTTAAAAACGTACCAATAGATGGCCCACCCTGTACAATCTCGAATGGGTACAAAGTACAATCTCGAATGGGTACACTAGATTTCATTTTTTTGTGCAACAATTTTGTTAGACCGACTATACACGTTCAAGTAACTTGTGAAGTATATTTATGCAAGTAAACTTTGTGAGTGATAATTTTTATAATGTTGTTTGAAGAAAATTAAAGCTATTATTTCTTGTATTGGAACAGGAAGACTGAATGAAAATATTTTTAAAGAAAAATTAAAATTACTACTACAATTTTTTGAGAAGTTGAAATAAAAAGACTTTCAATGAAAATATTAAAAGATACATAGCATATCATATAGTAAAGTACCACTTGGGTTTTATTTTTTAATTTTACTTTTGATGAATGAATCTAAAAAAATTTGGCAATTTGTGAATGACTCTATCTTGTCCGTTCGCGAAATCCAATATAAAATAAGAATATTGCTGAAGAAGACTTGAAAGAGAGAGAGAGAATCGAAATGTTCAACGAGTTCTCAAGACTGTAAATAAAGAAGACATCTGTACATCAAATGGAGTTATAATTTTACTTGAAAAAATTATATTATTATATATAAAATTAACTTGGCGCCTGTTGTTGATATCAAATCTTTTATACACATATCATTAAAGTTAAGTAAATAATAAAATAATAAAATAGTCATGGGTTTTACTTTTTAATTTGGTAGAATTTAGTTAATTAATTTGATAAAGATACAAATGATACGTGTTATTTTAATTAACATTAAAATTACAATCACAATTACAAGTGTTACGTCTAAACCCTTGAAAATTTGGTCAAGAACAATGAGGGAGAATGGAGAGGGTGTGGAAGGACGGTTAGACTCAATCTCACAGGTATATACGCGGAGGCGAACACCTGTGAGTCGTACGCACCTTTTCAGTCCCGGAATGTGGGTCAACGTCCGAAGGGACGCTATGACACCTGTTCCTGCGAACGTCGGTCCTACTATTTGGGTCAAGGAACTTAATTTTTTTACCCGGGATTAGAGCTCGTGCGATCTCAGGTATTCGAGTGAATGCGAGAGGTGATTTTAATAAATGACAGAGAATACCTTATGTTACGTTTATTAACAATAAAAAAAAAGAAAAAATGTTACATATAATAGACTTCTTCCATCCCTTTTTTTTATTATATAAAAAATATAATTAACACCTTATGGGTGTGTGTGTGTGTGTGTGTGTGTGTGTGGTGTGTGGACGTGTGTGTTGGTGCGTGCGTGTGTGGAGAGGAAAAAGGGTTAGCGAGTATGGGAGGCGAGGAAAGTGTTGCAGGAGCACATCGAGATGAGGTGCTTATAAAGGATGGTATAAGGTGTGGGATTTCCGGGGATGTACACAGTGACTAATCTATTCCCTTCGTAGGAGGGGAACGTAAAAAACCGGAACATTCGATCCTAGTCGATCGGCTCGGGATTCAGTTGAAATAGGAGGAGCGGGAGTTGATCCAAAGGAGGAAGAGGGAGTAGGAATCCTTCTTCGTGAGAAGGAGGGGGAGAGAATCGTTTCTCGAGAGGAGGAAGGAGAGGGAATCGTTCCTCGAGAGCAGGAGGGGAATAACCGAGGATTTCTTGGATAGCGGGGTCGATAACAGGAGGAGAGGTGAGATCTAAGGGTTGTGTCTGTAATATTGGTGAGTAAGAGATCTCGCTAAATTGCTTGTCGATCGGTTGAGGCGGCGCGATTGTGGGTGGCCCAAGAGGATGATTCCGCCTACTCCTCTGGACATAGGGAGTTCTTCCGCGTTTTCTAATGGTACGCACTACAAACCGAAGGGTTAAAATGACGTGTATGTATGTTCGTTGGAAACGGACGCAAGTGTATATAGATACAAATGTATGTGTTTCCATGCGGGGAAACGAGGGGATCGACTGGAAAGAACAGCGACTTACTGTTGCTCAAGATATCAGGTAGATTCCGATGGGTGACTCGGCGAAGGAGATCCGTCGTCTGTGGAGAGCGTCAGAAGGGCAGTCGCAGTGGCGCCTAATGATTCCAGTGCCGATTTGCCCAGAACTTCCATATGGAACCGCGAACTGGCGTGATTAGCGCAAGTTTTAGTAATTCCCGCACTCCACGACAATAGGTCAACTCATAGACTGCACGTGGACCGAGTGATTTAAAATTCTGTACTGACGTGAACCGAGTTAGCTTGATTTTCGTACTGACGCTCTGCACTTCCGCGGGACCTCTATTTATACCCCGAAAAAAGGGCGTTATGTTCTTTGTCTAGGATGCAAAAGTTAGTTGCAATGTCACGCGAGATTTACGATTTTTATATCGTTGTTGATCTAGAGTACATCGTTAGAGTAGTTTCGAGAAGAAAAGAAGTGATTTACGGTTTTGCTTGAAGAGCCAAGATTGCTCCGAGACAGATGACGAATTCTGTTATTCTCACGGAAAATACGGCTAAGTAAACAAATGGTTATCGTGTACAAATAGGTATGCGTTGCAGGGCTACCATTGTCTAATTTTAGATAACGCTCCCGTGGGAAGTTATCCTATGCGTTTTACGATTTTTTAAGTGCGACGTGGCGCCTGTTTCTAAAACATTGCTAGTCAGTTCCGGATGACAAAGCCTAGATTTTTCTATTGCGTGATCTCAGTACATTTATAATGTCTTTTGCAATCTTGTCTCTTTTAGGGCCCACATTAAGGTTGTTATTCCTTCCAGGTTGATTGGCATTTACGACTTTTCGCGGAGCCTGTCCGGTCTTTCTTTTCAAATCTGTCAGAGCGTTATTAGAAGGCTCCGCTCGAATCTCGCAGACGCCAACCATAGTCGCGACGTGGAGCCGAAGAAAAAAGTCGTGGCGTCTGTAGGACGTAACACAAGTATAATCAATTTTTAATTTAATCTTAAATCTATGCACCGCTTTTATAATCTTAAATCTACTCATCGCTCTTACACAGAATTTAATTAATTATTTTGATAAAAATATAAATAATATGTGTCATTATTAGAATTAATTAAAAATAATAAGAATAGTACCATTTGATAATATTCTTGAGACTTTCACGAGTGCTTTCTATATAAAGATTATACGTTTCGCGGGTTTCCTCCGTGTCCAGATCCATTCTTGGAATGCCAACGTTTCGTGAACCTTGCTTACTTAGTATACTTAGTATCAGGCTCCTCGCCCTGATGAAGTGGACTGCAAGGTTCACGAAATGTTGGCATTCCAATAATGGATTTGAATACAGAGGAAACACGTGAAACGTTTTATAAGAATAGTATCACTTGTGTTTTACTTTTTGAAATTACTATTATATTATTTTTTTAAGACGAGAGGTTGAAATAAGAAGATTTTCAATGAAAATACAAAAAGTATCGTATCACTTAGTAAAGATAGTACACTTGGATTGTACTTTTTAATTTGGTACACTATTTTTTTTCAATACATATCATCTAGGTTTATCATATTTAGGTTTTACCGTAAAATAGTTTTATTGGATGAGCACACGCTCTTAGCGCCTTTTTGACCATTTTTTTAAAAAGCAAAGTTTATATATAACGCCTCCCTCATTGTTTTATTATAGTATAGTATTAAATTTACAGTAAAAAATTAAGATTTTTTTTATATATTAAATTGAAATAGATGGATATAAATAATAAACTATAATAATTTTATACATCTTATGTATTTCATATATTTTTATATTTAAAATAAATACATTTTTTTATGAAAATACAGTTTGTATGAATTGAACTATAATATATCATCCTTGTATATCTAGGAATTGTGCGATGCATCAAATCCTAACTATTTTACGTAAACCTCGTCTCCTCTTCTGCGCAATACTTTCTCCAAGAGATACACGTCCGGATAATCCGCGGTATGTAACTCATGTTCATAGAACGTTTCAGAGATAGATTTTCCGCAATAGTCATCCAGTAGATAGGTTACGGGATCAGTATGCTGCACTTTAGCGATTTTAAATACTTCGGTGATCCAATTTGGTGTATAACTCTTCTCGAAGACGGTTTTATATTTGTTCACATGTACTGAATCACCTATTTTGAATTTCGTCGGATCTGCACTCTTTACGTTGTTGTATATCATGGCCAAGAGTTTTTCAGTGATCGCGAGAGTAACGTCGACGGGTCGCATATCAATCGTTCGATGCTTGAGCGTGTTATAATCTGATACAAGCTGCGACAACGCATTGTTCCACTTATAGTTTCCGTTAAGGCTCCTGACTAGTCGCGACCATGTTGGAATCGTGACGTCAGAAGTGAGGAATGACATGTAAATTTATGTTGCGTGCCATTTTTAAATAAAGACAATTTGGATGAAACGAAATGACGAGATCACTTTAAAACACTTGTAAAAATCGATAAAAACTGTCCTTTTCTGCCTTGACAGTCAGTAAATGATCGTAAAAGGCACGTAAAGTGAGTCTATATTCGGACAGAAACACACAGTCCGATAGCTGTTAAAAATATACGCTTTTAGATATAAAATTCTAAAGATAACTTTAGTTTTCATTGATAATTACGACTTTGATAAGTACGAGACAAGTCACATTTTCACAATTAGGCAAATAATAACGAAATGGCACACATAAATTTTGTCGTCAAAATCTCACTTTTCCATGCCCATAAGTTCGACGTTTATCATGGCATTTATCGTGGTGCGGCGTTGTAACACACAAACAAGCACGAGCCCGTATCCGTGTGCTCGCCTACGGCGCGCCGAAAGTGAACGAGACAGCGAGCTCCTTCTCCCACTAATAGCTTATTTCAAGCGAACAAAAAAAATTTTCTCGGCAATCTCGGTCTCTCAGCGGTCCTAGGCATTAATAAGGGGCGGGGGGCATCCTAAATAACATATAAGTTTTAATGAATTGTAGTAATAGTGTACCCCTTAATCCAGAATAGTATAAATCTTGTTAAAACGTAATAGTTTACAAAATATTTAATTGTTTATGATTTTTCATGCATGTTATATAGTATACCTCTCCTTCAATTTGAGCAGCAAGAATAATTCAATAGAAGTAGAATTTTACCGGAAAAAAATTATAAATCAGCATTTCTTTTCAAAAAAGCAAGTCTCAAAAGACTATCAGAAAAGAAATGCGTTGTTCGAGACTCGAGATTTGTGAAGAAAGTATGCGAAAAAAAATCGAATAATTGCAAAAAGCACGTTTTTCATTTATAAAACGAAAGATATTGATCGTGTGGAAAAAAATTCAGTATAAAAAAATAGGTATTCGAAATATTTACAAAATAAGATATGGAATATTAAAATCGATCTATTAGTTTAGTAAAAAAAAATTAAATAAACATCGAAAAAAGCCGTTTTTTCACTCGCTCTGTGTTCATTGAGATTTAAACGCAAAGCTTTGAAATTCTCGTAAAATGTAGCCCCCGTAATGATGAACAAATTTAGCCTTGAACAAGCCTGAAAATATTCATTAATTTTTGCAAAAAGCTTTGTTCTATAAAAACCAGCCTGTGGAAAACTTAATTTCTTCATCTTTGAGCAGTCGCACAACAATTTACAGGGGTTTGCTTCTTCAAGAGTTGCATTATCACGTACGCTTAATAAAATGATTTTTTTGCAGTTAAACAATTATAAAACGATTTTAAAAAGTGGGTATCTATTTCCATATAAAAAAATGAAAATAATTTCATTAAAATGCATCATATCAAATAGCCGTGTGAAGCATTCGAAATCTTTTTTCTTTTTTTTTGATGACGGAGGAGAAATGCGTAATGCATACCCCGGGCCTCGGAGAGCTTGGGGTTATGTGGGGCTTGCACCCACTAAAACCTCTCCGGGTGTCCTGAACGGGCCATAGCTGAGGGACTCCCAGGAACGCGTGCAGCATACTTCTGGGAGCCTCTCTGGCCGGTCGGCTGTTGCCGAGACAATCCCGCCCGGGGCGGCGCGTGGCGTTGACTGCCTGAATCGGGCGTCGGGGGGAGCACCCCCCCCCGCGCCTGCCTCCCCGTTTGTTGTTGGGGATCCCGGCCCTCGCCAGGACTCCCAAAGAGCGCCAGACGAGAATTTGATGTCCCTCATGCTAGTCTGCCGCGCCACGAAACTTGTTTTCGCGGCGCGGCGCATCCCCCTCGCGCGAGGAGGATGGGTGTCCCGCCCCGGCCCCGCGGTCGTAGACAGACAGGTCAACGGAATCCCGATCCCACGCGCGGAGGATCATTCCTGGTTCGGCAGC